AAAACGACTAAATATCTGAGTAGTCCCCTCCTCTGGCCCTCAGGGTGCACGGTTCAGCAGGTTCTGGGTGCATCTTTGCCATATGAAACCTGATTGATCTGACTGTCTCAGGAACAGGCTTCTGCAGAACTTGCTGATGCAGCCGTTTAAATCAGGGACACATCTAGAACCTGGACAGTGGGCTCAGAGGACCAGCAATGGGGCTCTGTGAACTACAGACTGAATAACTGGGTTAGAGGGCTATCAGAGGATCAGATTCAGTCTCCATGGCAACCACACCTATAATCTGCTCTAATCTGGTCTTCACCTCCACATAAACTCTCTCTGTGTTTGTCGGACTGTCTCTTAGTCAGGTCCACTGTCTCTCGTCCCAGACCCGGCTGACATTTCTCTCTGTTTGCTCTAATGTCTTTCGATACCAAACTGATTTTATCTTCAGTCAAAAACATTCATTGATTTTCACACCAAACTGATCTGTTCTGCTTTAATTATTCATGTTCCTGCTGGCTGAGCTGCTTCAGTTCCTGACTCTGGTTTCTGACTCCTGGGTCAGATCAGAATGACTCTGTTTGAGTGAAGCAGAGAAGAACTGATTACAGGTTCAGTGGAGCTCAGCCTGGACCTCAGTCTGAAGCCTGAACTTTAAACAGCAGCTGCTGAAACCGTTTGAAGTTGAACAGAAGGCAGCTTTAGGTTTATTGAAGCTGAGTTTGGACCTCAGACCGCAGCTGGATCAGGTCTGACCAGAGGTATATTAGTTAAAGATACTTGGAAACATTTGAACAGATTGAGACCCTAGCGCCCAGGTAAACTGCAGCCTTCGAGATAACCTGAGACATTACAGGTAAGACCCAGTCTGAATCTGAGAGGCTATCATAGCTCCTGTTCTTTGTCTCTGCTCTCCCACCTTAAGCGTCCAGTAGCTCTGTTCCTCAACCTCCCTCCTCCTCCTCCTCCTCCTGTGTCTCGCTGGCTCTCGCCCTGCCACCGCCTCACCTGCCGCAGGGGGCTTCGGTCCTGCCGAGGTGGGCAGAAAAAGCTCACCATGAACGAGCGCCAGGAGCCGGGAGCTGAGCAGGCCGACGACACATGATCACACTGAGAATGATAGCACGCAGCAGGAGAAGAGGAAGAGGTGACAGATGGCGAGGTGTTAATGCAGACAGGCCCCGCCCCCCTGGCCACGATCTGAGTCTAGAAATAGCAGACAGATCACAGTCCAGAAGACAACGGGCTGATGGAAAAATCCAGATCAATCATCATGATTGGTCCCTCAGACTGCTGAGTCATCACTCTGATAATCAATGCACACAGTGATCAATGATCAGCTGGAACCTGTCCAACCAGAGCCTGCACATGAACTGCCTGGTTACTGATTCGCCAATCACATCAGGCTATCTGGTAACTGACCAATCAGGAGGCAGGGCAGCTGTAAGGAGAGGAGGCAGGACCATGTGACTGGACACTGTGACATCACCGTCAACTTTCACCCAGAGAACCAATCAGAGTGAGCTCATTCACCTGTGTGATGTCACTGACTGGGCTTCACAGAGTTGGTTAACTCTGTTCCATTACATAAACCGTTCTGCACATGCTCAGATGGCTGCAGAGAGATCAGGTGTAATCAGGTGTAATAAAGCAGCTGCTAATCGGTCCTGAATCATAGCTGCTCAGATGGATATTGGTCGGTTCTGAGGAGCAGCACCGGCAGGTTCATCAGATTATGTTCTGATTATGATCAATACAGGCTGCTGAGTCAGCACAATGTGAAGTTGGAGTCTGTCTAAAGAGAGCTAGAGCAGGAGGTTGGTGTCTGCAGTTAAACTGGTGCAAACACAAAGGAAACAGTTGGGTAACCATGGTAACAACACGTGTGAGGTCTTTATCCGACTGATTTTAAAATGTTTACATACATCAGGAAACATTGTAACTTCTGCCTGCTGTAGGTCTGTCTTCATTCTGGGAGCTTCAGGCAGAGACCAGAGTGAAGCGTGACCAGAACCGAGCCTTAGGTTCTGCCCCTTGTAATAGCTGAATGGGCCGGGCCAGCCAGTCCGCTCCTGGGCCCAGGTGTCAGGAGTAACATGAACCCTGTTTTAATAAATCAGTTCAGAACTTCTAGCATTAAGGCCAGAATCCTGTTAAAAACCATCTGACAGCATGGAGACCTTTGGAGAACAGTAGGTGTGCCAGTCCACCCTATAATGCTCAGTTCCCACACTGCTTATAGATCTATGTTTAGGGAAAGTGCACATTTCTATGTATCATTACAACAGCCATTTTCTCAGCTTTAATTTTAGTCATATATCTTATAAAAATCAGAAAAGAAATAAGGCGCTATGACCGTTTTAATGGCAGATGCATGCTCATCCCGCGTCAGAACAGCATGGTTATGTTGACATGACTTGATGCATAGGAATGGCGCCTGCATGTGCAACAGTCACTATCAATAGTGACTAATTGGCTATGTCCAATCCAGTTACATATATCCATGGATTCACCTTTAATAACAAACCTACACAGACTATTAATCTTTGGGCCACACCTTCTTAACGCATCTACCTGAGACATAAGCTCCTCCCACCATGTCCTGATTCATCATTTCAAGAAAGATATGGTGAAGTAGCTCCACCCCCTGCGTGAGAAGGCATAGGAGACTGCATGCCTCCGCCACCCGACCTAGGGTCACTGGTGCCACAGAAAAATAAAAATCGACCAAACTTTAATGGATTGTTCCTGGGGATGAGACCTCTGGTGAGAAATTCAGAAGAATTCATCTGTAACCTTTTTCATAAGGTTGCTAACACACACACAAACAAACAAGCTCCTTGGCAGGGATTATAAGTAAGCGTAAGCAAGTGTTTCTTTTGTCACCTGTGTGGGCGTGGCTAAATGGGGTGCAGCCTCTTTATCCTGTTGGCCCCACCTCTTGTACTGCTGGTAACCAAGGTAACACCCTCCTGTGACAATGAGAAGTGGAAATGGCCGGGGACGGGGCAGGAGGCGAAGACCTGAAGAGGCAGAGGAAGCTGATTGGTTGACAGATCAGATGACACCATCATCTACCTGCTGCAGGGGTGCAGGGACTCACCGGTGCTCAGGCTGCGGTGCTGGTTGCAGCTCGGCAATGACACTCTGAAACACAAAGAGGTCATTAAAAATCATGATATGGGTCAGCTGATCACATGATCACGGGTGGACTCTGATCCTGCAGCGGTTTATGGACGGATTTGTTCTTCAGCCTGTGACTCGTGTTCACAGGTTCACCATAAACTGTCTGGGTGCCGAATTCTGATCTTTGCATTCGTCAAAGGTGGGCTCTAACACTAAGATAATTGAGTCTTGACGTTTGTTTGTCAGTTCTGAAAATCAAACGTATCTGTATTAAAACAAAGAGGTATTGACCCCTACTGCCCCCCAGTGGCCACAGCTAGTGCAGCTAAGAGGCTGCAGCTGGCTGTGATGGAACATCAGGTTGATGAAGAGGAAGGCCAATAATGTGACAACTCAATGTGTCTCATGTGATGGTGAGATATATACATATACACAGACACATTATATATATATATATATACATATATATATATATATATATCTCTTGACGGAGACCAAAGTGTACTGGAGTCAAATTCCTTGTTTGTCTGTACAAACTCGGCAATAAAGCTAATTCTGATTCTGAACATTAATTGGTTGAAACATCTAAAAAAATATCCCAACTATAGGTGCTTTAAACTTCCCCTTAATGTGTAAATATGATAAAGTTCCTATTAAAATGGCTGCTTTTCTTTGCCTGGACCTTCTTGTCATGGACTTTCATCCATAAACAGAACTTTTCTCCCCACAGCTGTCTTATATGGAACAAGGACATTTTATATATGCAGATATAAATCAATTTTTATAGAATAATGGTTTCATAATAATATTATTCAGGTGGCTCAGTTATTAAACAAAGATGGTAAACTCTTCTCATATCAAGAGTTATTATCAGAATTTATTCTTTCTGTTTTTCCTGGAGATTATGCTTAGGTTTTTAGGGCCATACCATCTGGAATCTGCCTGTGGTTCTGGTCCCGTCCCAATCCAAACCCTCAACAGTTTTGTTTATTGTCACCAACAGATACCGCTGCAGGTAAAATAGGTTTCTCCAACAATTCCAGGAATAACAATAAAGAGCACTGTATCGGCTCCTTATGTTGTTTCATGCTGGGGAACATCAGCTGGAAGGAAGCCTGGCGCCTGCCTAATTGATATTTAATAACTCAAACAATTAAAGAAATTTTATTTAAATTAATTCACCACATTTATCCTGCTGAAGTATAGAGCCAGAAGTGTTATAAATAGAATATTGATGGGAACTGCGGCACTTGTTGCGATTATCTTGACACATCGGTCCATCTGTTTTGTTCAATCCTTCTGGCGTGAAATCTGGAACTGGATTTTAAAACAACCTGAAGATTTTATTTTATTCTGAAAGAATGTAATGTTATAGAAAACTGTAGAGACCTCCTAAAGAAGCACGATAAGTCTCATTTAATGGATCTAATTATTATTAGTTTTACATTCTTGAGTGTGAATTTGGAGTAGTGGTGTGTGCAGTGTGCCAACGCCTCCAAGCGTGTGTCAAGTAATCCAGGCAGATTTTTTGTGAAGCGCATACCGAGGCTTGGGTCAATGACGTATGCAGTGACCTTTGAGGCCTCAAGGGCCGGCCGTGACTCATTCAGGAACTGGTTCGCCGTTTTTCAGGTGATCCGAAGTACAAGGGTCAGCAGAACGCTGCTGATACCCTGACATTTAGTCGTCTTGGGATTGTTGTTGTGTGTTCGTTAGCAATCCATCTGAGCGTCTTTTTAGCTTTGGAATTAGCAAGAAAGAGGAGAGTATTGGAACAGATAAACATGTTTATCACAACTCTTAAAAAGTTGCTGTTGCTTTTATTACTGACCAGCTAAATCTGTGCCCTGTGAATGGATATTTTCTACATCAGGCAAAGGCACTTTGAATTGGTGGTCTAGTGGTTAAGACTCGGCGCTTTCGCCTCTGTTGTCCGGGTTCGATTTCCAGTTAAGGAATCCAGTTTTATACGTCTATATCGGAAAAGAAAGTTTTAATCTCAATAAAGATTCACCTGGTTAAATAAAGAGTGGTATTATCAGCATTATAGTCATACGTTACTAAAGCAAATTCACATCACAACCCTCTCCCATCCAGGAGGAGTCGCTGACTCGATGCAATCTGCTGGGTTTCCTTAGATAGAAAACATTTTTAACAATTTTAATAATAAACTGAATCCGACTGAACTGTTTGATAATTACGATTAATTGGAATCACTGGGAATCTGTATGATTTGATTGATTTGACTTTGTGAAGTGCTTTGAGACGACATGTTGTGAAATGACACCACAGTAATAAAAATAAACTGAATATTTGTTTCCACTTATCATTTTGATCCACTTATTTTATTATACAGACAGATTAAGATCATATTAAGACCATATTGAGAATTTATTGGCATCACAAATTTAAAGGTTCATGTCATCACAATCATTTTGCCTGTTTTACATTTATTGTCCACTTGATGGCGCAGTAGAGCAAATGAAACATCTTGATGTCTCACGTCGTGAGTCGATCAATTGGGTGGAAAGCCTCAGAGCTTCAAGAGGCTTCATCTCGCCATGACTAATTCAGAGGCACTAAACCAAGCATTACTGCTTTTAAAGTACATTCAATGTATTCAATCTTCAGAAAACCAGAAAACAATTAAAACTGCATAAGTTTGTATCAGGTTCAACTTCTTAATGTGGACAGCTATCGCCCCCTAGCGTTCAAACAGACAATCTTGCTTTGAACCGTTAACTACTTTGCACAGAACTAAAGAAACTATCTATCTATCCATTAAAAAAGAAAAAATAGAGAGACGTGAAAAAACAAAACAAAAAAAATACTGGCGCAGTGATAAATAATCAACCAAAGATTGAATTTTAAATATTAATTTCTCTAATATTTTGATCAGTTATTAAATAAATCTTTTCTTTTTTGTTTGCATTTAATAGCCCGTTATTTATTCATATTCATTTCTGAATTTCTTCTCAATTATGGCAGGACTGGACCGAGCCCTCACTCAGTCCGCAGACGGTACCACCATCTTTCTGCTCTAGTTCTTGAAATGAGCTTCTGGTTTTCATCTGAACCTCAAATGTTCCAGAACTTAATGTCTTTGTGATAAATCTGAAGTTCTCCAGTAGAAATGAAGCCAAATTTCCTGTTTCCAAACATCATAAAACCAGGAAAAGTTCAAATCAAATCGATCCTTAATTTGTGTTTACAAAGACACATTTTATCCTCCTGGATCTTCTGCTACATCCACGATCTAACAGAGGAACGGAACCATCTCATCTACAAACACACTGAAGATCTGCTGACTCCACAGAACCAAGGACAGACCAGAACCTTCACAACCTTTATATCTCCACACCTGGAGACGCCAAGACCTGATTGCTTCTTTATTGAAGCCTCTCCTGTCTGATTTAGAGAATGAATGTTTGTTCGGACCGGACCGGACCGGACCGGACCCGTTTATATGAAGCGCAATTTTATAGCAGCTGCGAATCAGCCAGTTTCTTATTTAACTTTAATAAATGAATACAGCTTCCTGTTCCTGTCAGCCTTACTTCCAGGCTGCAGGGGTCACCTGCCTGCTGCACCTCTCATCAGACATTCGGTTATCTACCTGTGTGACGTCATAGCCAGCGCGTGCTTAATGAGCTCAGATGTTCCAGGTGAGTTTACCTGCTGCTGATCTTCAGAGCTCCGCTCCACAACCTCACTGCAACCGCCATCATCATCTACTTAGGATGTGACGTCAACAGATACTCCTTCTTCTTCCTCTGACGGGAGTTGCGCAGGCGCAGTGCTGCTCTCTACCGGCCATTGGACTTCTTTATTTATTTAGATAAAAGAGAATAAATTAATTTAATAAAAAATCTGCTATGAGTCTTTAAAGATCTAAAGGTTCTCCTGGATTTCCAGCTGGATCTGTTTCACAGCAGAACCTTCACTTAGAAAAGCAGAACCCAGCATGGAGCTGAGGAATTAAAAACAGAATCAGAATCTGATCTGATTGTGCACACAAACAAGGAATTTTTACACTTTGCTCACAGTGATAATGTTTTTTTATTATCTTTTATATGTAAACATATACACAAGTAACTTTACAGACAAGATAAAGTGGGATCAGTCCAAGTATGCATGGCATGGTTCTGGAACTCCTGTGAGAAACACCCTGGAGGAAGAAACTGTCTCTGTGGCAGCTGGTTTTAGTGGTGTCTGAGCTACCGCACCCTGTTGGCGGTCAGACGCCTCGGATCTCCTCCGGTTCTTGGTCCCCAGAAGCGATCAGACTCTATCTAAAGACTCTTAAATGAACGACTCTCAACCAGTTTCTAACGTTTAGCTCTTTTTAATCTAAATTAAGGCAGAGGAATGATTACAGAGATCAGCGCTGAGGCTCCCGTCTCGGACCGTCTCCGTCTGTTAGAGGATGACGAAGAGCCTCGATAGAAGGTCACATGTAGTTTTATATCTGGGTCTCCAATGCAATGGATGTTCTCTCCCTCAGTGATTATCAGTAGACTATGTGTCACCATTGTGGTGTCTATCTGGTAGATTGTGTTGTAGCGGGTGTCCATACTTAATCTAAGTGTGCTGTAGGTTTCTAATCAAACCAGTTATACCAGCTGCTCCATTATCAAACCCAGTGCCCCAGCTTCAGGTCATTTATGACAAACCTTGGGCCATTTATCCTTGTACTGTGTGTTTATGAGCATTCTTATCCTATTGTAACAAAAGGGAAACATTAGAACTTATATTTTATTTCACTATAGCATAAAAGTGAAAAACAGCTATGAGCATATTAATAAAGGTTATTCCTAACATTTGTGTTAAGATAAACTTAGCTAAGTTCTAGCAGTCTAGCTACTCACCTAATGATGTGTGTTGTCCTTTTTTAAAGACAACTTTATTTAAAGGGTGGTTTTTAAACAAAGATCGGCCATAATGTGCTGTCAACACTACTGCATTTTGATCATTTTATTAATGGGATTTTAAAGGTACATGTTGGATTTTAAAGGAGTCGTGACAAGCTATAAGCTTCTTTTGTTAGCTCCAACCACTAACGGCTAAGGTACCATGTGACTAGCCGCCATCTTATAAGTCTATTAAGAATCATTTATCCAGAAAGGTTGTTAGTTTTCAATCTGGAAAAATATTTCCCTAAATATTATTTTACTAAATGTGATAGCTAATTAAACACCGGTAAGACTCATTTATCCAGAAAGGTTTGGTTCTTATTTCAAATAATATTTCCTTAAATATTATTTTAATATTTCCTGAAATATATTTTACTAAATAAAGGCAGCTAAATAAACATCATTGAGAATTAGTCATCCAGAAGGTTGGTTTTATTCAGCAAATCATTCTTTAATGTATTATTTCATTAAAATAATATTTTATCTGATCTTGCATTGTGAATGGTTGTTTGGAAGTATACCAATTATTGCCTAAGTTAGCTCCAAGACTAACTCAACCTCATTCCCAGATTTCTCAAGATAATCCTTGGTTCTCAAACATAAATAACATTGAATGGTAATGTTACATCACTTTATTGGCCATGGTTTTAACCATCTTTGATTCATTTGTTCATGATGTATATTGTTGGTCTTCATTATTCTTTCATTCTGCTTGGTAGTTTAGTTGGATTGTTCTAGTGTAGTAAAGAGTTCGTTGATTGACATATGTTTGACTTTGAGTTGACTTATTTTTGTTAATAAATTCTTGTATTTTAAGACATTGTGTGAATTTATTCCATGTGTGTTCAAAGTTTTGCTGCTCAGTAATGCCAGAGCTTGGCACACCTCTTTCACCGCCTTATTGGGCTAACTCACAGGACAACACCAGATGGAATTATTATTTAATAAAATATCAATATTAAATATTAACTAATATAATCATAATCACAACAATGTGTATGTATTGCTATTTGTCTCAATAACATCCTGCTGGGTGAACTACACCTACAGCTGACATGCTCTCCTAGAAATATGATTCTGCAGCGAGTGACCTGTTATGGATGATGTTTTTTCACTCTAAAGGTACCCCAGCAGACATAGCCACACACTGTGGTTTACCATTGTCAACCAGAGGCCTTTGCGGCTGGATTACCAGTGAGAAATAAGAGTGACGGCAGAGGAAGGTGGAAGTAGCAGTGGATTTATTCAGGCGCACACCAACAAGCCTAACAGCATCAAAAAACCTCTT